CTCGGCGGCGGAGGAGGAGGAGGAGGAGGAGGAGGAGGGGGGGGAGGAGGAGGGGGAGGTGGCAGTGAAAGTCCCCCCCCCCCTTGGAGAGGGCGCAGCAGGCCTGCTCGGGGGCTTCCGGGGTCGGCCCGGGGGGGCGGCCCGGGGGGAGGCCCAGCGTGGGCTCGCAGACCTCGGGGGCGGAAAAGAGGGGGGTGATGACTAGGGGGGCAGGGATATCATGGCGGGGGCCATGATATTTCCCCAGATTTCATGGCGCCTCTTCTTATTTCATTGCGTCCCTGGCCCCCCCGCTGGGCTGCGCACATGCCGCCGGTCATGATTTGCACCCCCCCCTCTTGGACACCCCCCTCCTGGCCGCTCCCGAAGACCTCGACGTGGGCGTTGCGCGCTGTGCGCGTGGCCGTCCAGGGTCCATTTCGATCCGGTCGATCCGCTTCGATGTCGACCTCGGCCTGCACGAGTCGCTTCGATGCCGATGCCGAGGTTCTGGCGATCCAGTGCGGCCCCATGCTTGCACGGCGCCGTTGTGCATCCTGGCGTGTCCGTTGTGATTTGATTTCGTCTCCGTGCCAGTGTAGCCCGATCCGACGCACATCCCGATTCGACTAGATTTCCCAATTCGATGGTGGCTGATCTTGGCACATGATCGCTTGCGGAGATCACGCAGGTCGCAAGGTGTGGGCAGAGACCACAGTAAGGTTGTAGTGGTTCATCAAGGCTGTCCTTGCATCCTTGCCTTTTCGACCAATCCGCGTGCGATGTTATAGTGAGCGGCTTGAACAGGTAACGATTGCTTCTCAAAAGGGGCTCGGTCGTTCCTCAGGCTTGCATGCGTTATTCATTGTTCCTTATGCGTCATCTAATCTACATGTCGTTCCTTGTTCGTTGTTCCTTGGAGAAAAGGGGCTTCGTTCCTTATTTTTCGTTCCTTAGGTCAGACCGATGACTGTACGGGTCGTGTGCTGCGGACATGGATTAAATGTGGGCGTTCACGGTCTCGCGACCTCACCTTGCATCTTTACATTGCATTCTGAGCGTAGGAGGCCCAGCGACACCTTCCTCGGTTCCAATCTGCTCAACGGAGTCATCATGAGCAGCATCTGCAAAGCTTGCGCAACGCCAGACTCAGCAGGAGCTAGCGCTCTCGATTATCGTCATTTCGGCTGGAAGTTGAAGCATCGCGCGTTCAGGCGCAATCAAGTATGAGTATACGGTATCATGCGTTTTCAAGCCGGAGTGGTTGCAGCACCAGCTGGGTGCTCGTCCCTTGGCGCAATCTCTCGCTGCAGGAGTCTGGCCATCAGTATTTCTGAAGCCAATTATTACGGATGCGATCATCACTGTCGTCTCGCCATCGTATTCGCCATCACTACCATCATCACCACCATCGTAATCATCATCATCAGCACCACCATCATCATCAACATCATCATCATCATCATCATCATCATCATTGGTGTCGTCATCATCCTCATGAGCATCAGCATCAGCAACATCATCATCATCATCATCAACATCATCATCACCATTATCACCACAACCTCATCATCATCATCATCATCATCATCATCATCATCATCATCATCATCATCATCATCATCATCATCACCATCGCCATCACCATCACCATCACCATCACCATCACAATCACCACCACCATCATCCTCATCATCTTCGCCACCGTCGTGACCTCGGGCCTGCCTTTCCCGTAGGTGATATGTTGCATCGCACGTCGCCGCGGTGTATGCCAGTCTTTAATAGTTTCTCAGGAGAGACGATCCCTGGGCGCCCCCCGTCCACGGTGCGCAGCGAGCGCAAACGCTGCTCGCTGTCCCTGTTCCCTGTTCCCCATTGCTCATCATTGGTCCTCCCTCCCCTCCTTAATCCTCGGCTCTTCCGCATCCTCCACCACTCATGCATTGCTACCCTATTCTCCTATTTTCACTCTCCTGACCCCGCTTGCGATTTGTACACGCATTGAAGTTGAGCTCATTGCGTGCTGTTTGCGCGTGCATCGGCATTCGGGTAGCATCCGCGCAGGCTGGCATTTCTCTACACACGCCATCGTTTCATAACTGGTGGCCCATCCATTGGGATGCTTCTCGCGTCCTGTCGCCGTTGAGCGGGATTTCGAATTATACGATTGTGCTTTTCGCAGCGAAGAGGAATACGACGCGGAGGCCAATCCACGTAGATGTGCGGAGGAAACGGGGAGGATCGGGGGCAAGGAACGGGATTACAAGACTTGTAACTACGGAGGATGATTTCCAGACGCCACCTGTCGGCTGCTTGCTGGTGTACTGCAGGACATGTGTTTGATGCGTGGAGAGAACGAGCACGTCGGACGGCCACCAAGGGCGGGCGACCAAGAGAACGCCACAAGAACATGATGAACGACATTTGAGGTTTCCCGCGCCAGATACTGATTGTACTTGATGTGCTCCCTGGGAGGTTATTCCTTGCTCCCCAGAGTTCAGAAGTCTTGTGGCCTTCGCCCGGGTCGATTGGGTCGTCTCAGTATATTTCTTTCTGGCCAAGCCGTAGGAGTAAAGCATGGGAGGAGATGGGGATAGGAAACCAATGGCATAGGAGTAAGGAGTGGGAGTGGGAGGAGATGGGGGGAGCAATGAGTTGGGAGCAATTGTGGGGATTGGAGAAGGGGGGTTTTAGAAGAGGGAGTGGTGTGGAGGGGTTCAGGAGGAGCACGAAGGGAAGGGAACCCTATGGAGGAGGGAACATGGGAGGAGGGGTGGAGGAGGGAAGGGGAGGGGAGGGAACGAGGCGGGAGCGAAAAGTGGAAAGGGGCACACCAGGGAAAGGAGGGAAGAAGGTGCCCCGGACTCGGCCAAGAAGAGCAGGAAAAGGAGGAGTAGAAGAATGAGGAGGAGGAAGAGGAAGAGGAAGAGTAGGAAGAGGGAGAACAGAAATGAGGAAAGGGGAAGATCGGATCGGATCGACTATCCACGACTGCCGGGCGAGGGCCGTACCCCGTGAGCGTGACGGTCGACCAGAAGGAGATGGAGCAGAGTGAACCTAGTCTACATCAGCGATTCTGCAATCCACCCTCCCGTCTCAAATCATCTCCTAAAGAATCCTACAAGCCTTCCTCTGCATTTCAAGCAGGGCAGCCTTGAAATATCAGTACTCGCTCTATATATATATATATACGCCTGCCATTCAGGCGGGATCCCCGTTTTGAACATGGGCTGCCTTGCGTCCTTCGAGCGAAGAATAATACATGCGCCAAGGCATGATCAATACAGTTCAGCGAGATGTCCAGCGCGATCACCATTTTTTAAAGGAAGACAGAAATCAAGCAGTGGCGAAGCGTCCTGGCTCGCCTATAGCCCTACCAAACAATGCTCTAAGAACCTTGTGTGGTTTCCACGAAATGCTCTTAGAACATGTCTAGCTGGGACTGTCTAGGTTTTACACATCAGGTTTATGTTCTAAGCAAATCGTTTTTGTTCTTAGAAAATTTTGGGGTTCTAAGAACATTTCGTGGTAGGACTATAGGAATGCCGGGACGGTCGGTCCCTGCTCAAAGAAACCTCCCCCATCAGTGCACCTTGTGCGCGACGTCGCAATTCTGGCCCTGAGCGTCGAGGGTGCCTCGAGTGAGAGCTCCGTCTTGAAGAGGAACCACCCTCCATCCCTGCAGCTGCACCACTCGTTGCGTCCAGCGCTCGAGCGGTTCGGTGATGCCGGGGCTCCAACCGATGAAGGGGCCCTGGGACACACAAAGAAATACACACAAATACAAAGGATTACCCATATCTTCTCCTACTTTCTCGGTTTTTGCCTTCCTCCCCCCACTCCCCACATTTTCCCATACTTTCCTGGGGATCGACGATGGCTTGTGTCTGTGTGTGTGAGTTTTTCCCTCCTGAGCCGATACAGCCCCTGGGGTTGGCCGAGGAGCCGCCCTCTCCGCCCGTGCAGCTGCGGCATGCCTGCTCGGGCTTGTCTGTGCCTCGCGCGCCAGGGGCTCCCACGGGGGCGCGAATTTATGTCCGCGCTCCGCGGTCCGCGGTCCTCGCTCCTTCTCTCCCCCCTCCTCCTCGTCCTCCTCCTTGTCCTCCTCCTCGTCCTCCTCCTCCTCCTCCTCCTCCTCCTCCTCCTCCTCCTCCTCCTCCCCCTCCCCCCCCTCCTCCCTCTCCTCCTCCTCTCTCCTCCTCCTCCTCCTCCTCCTCCTCCTCCTCCCCTCCTCCTCCTCCTCCCTCCTCCTCCTCCCCCTCTCCTCCTCCTCCTCCTCCCTCCTCCTCCCTCCTCCCTCCTCCTCCTCCTCCTCCCCTCCCCCTCCTCCCCCCCCTCCTCTCGTCCTCCTCTTCTCCCTCTGGGGGGGGGGGGGGGGGCGGCGCGAGCGCGCGAAGCCATTCGCGCCCTCGCGCTCTCGCGGAGCGCGAGGGCGCGAAGCTGGGAGCCCGAGCGCTCGCATGCGTCCAGCGGGGGCCCCCCTTTGGACAGGAGCCGCCCACCATCCCCGTGCCTCTGGCTGCCTGACGCGCGTCGGGCGAGCGCGCGCGGCGCGAAGACGAGCGCCCCGTTGTTTGAGAAGGAGCCGCCCTCCCTCCCAGAGGCCGCTGCCGACTGTGACGACGCACGTGCGCGGGGCCAGGGCGACAACCAGGCCTACGTGGAACACAGCTTCCCGGAATCCCTGAGGCTGCTGCCAGCTTTTGGAAAAGTTGATGCGCGCGGCGCTTAGGCGGGGGCTCCATCGATCCTGGTCGTGTGATGCTTACGCGCAGTTTCCGTTGCCATTTAGGCCCAAGCCGGTCCGGCGCGAGGCCACCGCCGCGTGCATCGCGATGTTCCGCCGGCTCGCGTTCGCCAGCGTCCCAGCCACCTGTGGCCAGCTCCTCTTGGCGGTGCCAAGGGGGGGGGCCCTGAGGGCCAGGGCCCTAAGGACGAGAGCCTCAAAAGCAGTGAGGGTCCAACCTGCGACCCACTTCCTATATCCTCAGGGCCCCATTCCTCAGGGCCCCATTCTTGAGCCGCCGGTCCTCTTCCCGCCCGTCACGGAGACGCTTGCCGGCTCGGGTGCATCCTGGAGGGGCGCCGAGCAGGGCGCGGGTGTCGGCGAGGGGTTCGTCCATCCGACCCTCTGCGACCCCAGCGTGCACCAGACCGCTGGCTACCTCAGCGCTGGCTCGGGCACCAAGTATTGAAGACGCCTGCGGCGAATCACCGCCGCCCCCCGCCGTGGGGAAGCGCCCATGCAGTGGGCCGAAGTCTGGTCAAGATATCGGAGTACGTGTTCCCCCAGCCGTTGTGGAATCCCTTGGGGGAACACTTGGGAGAGGGAGGTGAATGAAGAGAAGGAGGAGGAGGAGGAGGAGGAGGAGGAATAATGATACGTAATACGAATAGTAAGAGCACGAATAATCATACACATAATAATCAACATAATAATAATAATGATGAACTGGAGGCTGAGATATTGTGGAGCCCCTCGGGGTTCCAGAGGGGTTTTATGACTTGCTTTGCCCATTTCTTCATAATTTCCTTATCTTCTCTTTCTTGCTCCCTCTCTCTCTCTCTCTTCTCTTACTCTCTCTCTCATTCCCTCTATCTCCTCGCCCTCTTGAGCTATACCATTATTCTGCCAGCCTCTTCACTAACAAATGCCCCCCCGAGCATGATTCTCGAAACTCCAGCCCTGTGCCACACGGCATGGGCTGGAATTTCGAGGACCATGCTCGGGGGGGCATTTTGTTTGGATCTTCGGACTTTATGAGGTTTTTCCCCACATCCAAAGTGGGGTTCTTGTTTTCTCTGCACACGCCGCGCAGGATCTCACCCCTCCCTTCCTCTCTCTCACACACAATCACCATCATCACCATCATCATCACCATCAACCACCATCATCGTCATCACACGCACACACTCATCATCATTACCATCATCATCACCATCAACCACCATCACCGTCATCACTACTCATCATCACAATCCTTCATCATTACTCATCATCGTAATCATCATCATCAGCATCATCATCATCATCATCATCATCATCATCGTCACCTCATCACCACTCGATCACCCACTTACTCACCCAATTACTCACTCATCCTCAGTAGGCTTCGGAGGCAGTGGTCCTCCGACGGTAGGACCGCCGCCACTCTCAACATCATCGTCACCATCTCCATCATAATCTCTCGACCACCCACTCAGTGGCCATCATGATCATCATCGACACCATCATCACTCATTCATCACACACTCATCATCATCATCATCATCATCATCATCATCCTCATCATCATCATCATCATCATCAGCATCATCATCATCATCATCATCATCATCATCATCATCATCATCATCATCATCATCATCATCATTCACTCACTCATCATCTCGTCATCATTCACTCCCTGGCTTGAATTTGGAGGTAGTATCAGGCAGGAGCCTCGATTGTGAGTGAATTGTGAGGAAGTCTCAGGCGGGAGCTCCTCCCTATGGGGCCCGCACCTCATGTTTTTAATCCGAGGCGGGTCATTCGAAACGTGTAGATGTCATCACGTTTGGGCCCGTGTGGCGAGAACCTGGAGGTAGTATCAGGCGGAAACCTCGTCTGTGAGTAAATTGCGAGGAAGTCTCAGGCGGGAGCTCCTCCCTATGGGGCCCGCACCTCATGTTTTTAATCCGAGGCGGGTCATTCGAAACGTGTAACTGTCGTCACGTTTGGGCCCTTGTGGCGAGAATATGATGGAAGTATCAAGCGGGAGCCCCGTCTGTGAGTAAATTGTGAGGAAGTCTCAGGCGGGAAACCCTTCCCTATGGGGCCCGCACCTCATGTTTCTAATCCGAGGCGGGCCACTCGAAACGTGTATCTGTCGTCACTTTTGGGCCCTTGTGGCGAGAATCTGGAGGAAGTATCAAGCGGGAGCCTCGTCTGTGAGTAAACTGTGAGGAAGTCTCAGGCGGGAAGCCCCCCCCCCCCCCTATGGGGCCCGCACTTCATATATATAATATATATATATTATTATATATATATATATATATATCTATATTAATTATTATTAGAAAATCCGAGGCGGGTCATTCGAAACGTGTAACTGTCGTCACGTTTGGGCCCCTGTGGCGAGAATCTGGAGGAAGTATCAAGCGGGAGCCTCGTCTGTGAGTGAATTGCGACGAAGTCTCAGGCAGGAAGCCTCTCAGGCGGCCCGCGGGGCTGTCCCACAAGGCGGCGACGTCGCCGAGGGACATCGACTTGCTTGCCCCGACCAGGGAGGGGGGAGGTGCACATAGAAAAGCGACAGGAGGAGGAGGAGGAGGAGGAGGAGGAGGAGGAGAGGAGGAAGGGACGAGGACGAGAAGGAGGAGGGGGGGGAGGAGGAGGAGGAGGAGGGGAGGAGGAGAGGAGGAGGAGGAGGAGAGGAGGAGGAGGAGGAGGAGGAGGAGGAGGAGGAGGAGGAGGAGGAGGAAAAGGAGGAGGATGAGGAGGAAGAGGAGGAGGAGGAGGAGGAGGAGGAGGGGGGAGGAGGAGGAGGAGGATGAGGAGGAGGAGGAGGAGGATGAGGAGGAGGAGGAGGCGGAATAAGAGAGGGCCGCGCTCAGGGCGAGAGGAGGATGTCCGCTAGGGCGACGGGGGAAGGGTTAAGGGTAAGCTACTAATCTTGACCGTCTTGAAGCTGTCCTCTCCACTGCTCGTGCAAACATCCCACCCTCCCACCCGCAATTTGGTCGCAAGACCTCTTCAGACAAGACCGTGACGGTAGGTACCACATGGCACTTGGCCACGACACCGATGCCGACGACGACAGCGACATCGACGACGACGGCGCCGCCGACAGCGACTGCGACGACACCGACGACGTCTCCAATGTTTTCGACGGCGACAACGACGACGACGACACCGACGACGACGACAACGACGCCGACGACGACGACGAAGACGACGACGACGTCGCCAACGGAGACGACGACGAGGGAGGAGAAAAAACGACGACGGCGACAACGACGACAACGACGATGGAGGAGGGAAGACGGCGACGACGCCAACGACGAAGAAGGAGGAAGGACGGCGACGCCGACGACGACAACGACGAGGGAGGAGGGAAGACGACGACGATGACAACGACGACGAAGACGACGACGACGGCGACGAAATGAAAGGACGACGACGAGACGCCGACGACGGACGACGACGACGAGGGAGGAGGATAACGACGAGGGAGGAGTGAAGACCACGACGACGACGACGACGACGGCGACGAAATAGGAGGGACAACGACGAGACGCCGACGAAGACAACGAGGGAGGAAGGACGACCACGGCGACAACGACGACGGAAACGACGACGACGCCAAGACGACGACAACGACGACGAGGAAAGACAGAAGACGACGACGGCGACGACGACGACGACGACGACGAGGGAGGAGGGAGGACGACGACGACGACGACGACGCAAGAGCGCGCGCGCACGCTTTTGTTGAAAATCCGTGTTGCGAAACCTTGGGACTTTGTAGGTTTTTTGGACGCACGATTTTGAAATCCTTCTGAAACCGATGGTTTTTGAAGGATTTCGGCATACGCCCGCGACGACGCGCGCGTCTGCACTTCGTCCCGTTTTTTGCAGAGGATTCTCGCGACGCCACACGCGCAAGGGCGTTCGACAGATTTCGACATGCGCGCGCGAAGCCCGTTTGGTAGCATTTTGTGAAAATCTTGGAAACCTATGGTTTTCTTAAGATTTCGCAAGACCTCACGCGGAAGTTTTTTTTTGCAAATCAGTGTTGCGAAACCATGTGTTTTTGTATGTGTTTCGGAAACTCGATTGCGAAATCCGTCCGGCACCGAAGGTTTTTGAAGGATTTCGGCATGCGCGCGCGACGACGCGCGCGTGTGCACTTCGTCCCATTTTTTCTGCAAGGAATTCGTGAAAAAAATGTTATGCTAGAACCAAAAATGTCACAAGTTTTTTGCAAGGGAACCGCAGGGGGGGGGATACCGGCTTGGCTGGGATAGTATGAATTCATATTTAGGATGGACATGTGGTCAGAATCATATGTAATTTACAGCACGCGCGGGGTAATCGATAAGTCCGGGGGGGGGGGAGAATCTATTAGTCTTTCAGAAAGGAGAATAAAGATTACCATGCGGGGTCTTACTGTCGGAGTATTTTTCTTTCCAGCGTTATGTTCCTTTTCTCTTCTCTTTCAGCCCCTCTCTTCTCATCGACCCCTCTCTCTTCGTATCTCCCTCCCTCTCTCTCTTTTCTCTTTCGTTTTTGTTCGTTATCCTTTCATATACATATATATATATATATATATATATATATCCCTCTCTCTTCGTCTCTCTCTCTCTCTGTCTCTCTCTCTCTCTGTCTCTCTCTCTCTCTCTCTCTCTCCCTCTCTATAGTTTCTCTTTCGTTTTGTTCCCTACCCAGGCTCTGCCTAGAAGGGTTCTTATTCTCTTAGCTTAAAGGGGCCGGGCAGTGCTACACGCCCCGGTCGTTTCCCCCAGTCCCCTGGGAGCGGTTCCCCCCAGTCCCCTGGGAGCTTTAGCTTTAGTTTTAGCTTTAGCTTAAGCTTAGCTTTAGCTTAGCTTTAGCTTAGTTTTAGCTTAGCTTTAACTTAGCTGTAGCTTAGCTTTAGCTTAGCGTTTCGCTTAGCTGTTCGCTTAGCGTTTAGCTTAGATTTAGCTTAGCTTTAGCTTAGCTTTAGCTTAGCTTTAGCTTCAGCTTAGCTTTAGCTTAGCTGTAGCTTAGCTTTAGCTTAGCTTTAGCTTAGCTTTAGCTTAGCTTTAGCTTAGCTTCAGCTTAGCTTTAGCTTTAGCTTTAGCTTTAGCTTAGCTGTAGCTTAGCTTTAGCTTAGCTGCTGCTCAGCTTTAGCTTAGCTTTATCTTAGCTTTAGCTTAGCTTCAGCTTAGCTTTAGCTTAGCTTTAGCTTAGCTGTGGCTTAGCTTTAGCTTAGCTTTAGCTTAGTTTTAGCTTAGCGGTACTGTTACTACTGATGCTGCTTTCCTAGGGGTTCCAACCCCTAGGTAGGGTCGCACTGGGATAATTCGTTCTCTTCTCTGGCGAGAGCGGCCACGAGGAGGGGCAGCAGGAGGAGGGGGAGGGAGGGGCAGGAGGAGGAGGACGGGGGGAGGAGGAGGAGAGGGAGGGAAGTAGGAGCAGGACGGCGTTAGCGCTTTGACCTGTGCCTTCTCTGCGCGTGGTTTCGCATCGAGATCCATCTGCCAAGAAATGTTCAGAGAGCTCCAGGAAGGGGAGAAAGGGGACGAGAGGAGGGCAAATAATATGATTTGGTGTCGGATGCTTTGCGTTGCATTCGCATTGCGTCGCATTGCATTCGCATTGCATGGGCACCGCAGTCGCAGTGCATTGAAATGCATTCGCATTGCATGCGCAATGCAGTCGCATTGCGTTGCAATCGCATTGCGTTGCAATTTCGCTGCGTTGCATCCGTGCTCTCGTCACGTCGTGTTCCGTCGACCTTGGTCCGAGCACTGCGCTGCATGCCCACATTTTCCAACCGCATTTCAACCAATGGCGCCCAGGGGCCGGCCGCTCCCCCAGAAGACGCTGGAGGAGGTCTTGGAGGCGCGCAGGGCGAAGTTGAAGAGGCGCCGCGAACGGTACGCCCAGAAGAGAATCGCTAAGACCAGCGCACGGGCGGAGGTATTCAACGGCCGATCTGTTAAGGCAGCCAGGGCAGAACGGCTTAGGCCACGAGTACACCCTGTGTCGACACATCGGCGCGAGCAGCCTCTTAAGCAACAACTTGAGCACGCTCAGCGGACAGTCGACATGTCAGTTCGTTCTCGCACACAGCCTGCAACAGCAGCCAACACGTCCTACACCAGCCGTAGCAGTGCACGCGGCATTTGGGAGGTACTCACTAGTTCTAGGGGCGCACACAATTAGGCCGAAGTCGTAGCAACCTGGGAAAAGCCAGACCAGAGCCCTCGCCCAACGAGCCGTCCCCAGACCCGTCCGCCTTTTCCGCCTCGCCGTGAGTTCCTTTTTCGCGAACGTGCAAACTGCGTTTGTCGTGACCTGCTTCTCGTTTTCCTGCTCCTGCTACTGCTCCTGCCTCTGCTCCGGCCCCTGCTCCTGCTGCTGCTTCTGCTGCTGCTTCTGCCCCTGCCTCTGCCCCTGCCCGCGCTCCTGCTTCTCTTCTCCATGCCTCCTCACCATTCCTCCTTTTCCCCCTATCCCTATTCCTCCTCCCCCTCATTCATCCTCCTTCCACCTCCCTCCCCTCTTCCACTTGCCTCCCCCCTCTCCTTCTTTCTTTTTTTTTTTTCTCTCTCTCTCTCTCTCTCTCTCTCTTTTTTTTTTTCTCTCTCTCTCTCTCTCTCTCTCTCTCTCTCTCTCTCTCTCTCTCTCTCTTTTCTTTTTTTTTTTGTTCTCTCTCTCTCTCTCTCTCTCTCTTTCCCTCTCTCTCTCCTCTCTCTCTCTCTCTCTCTCTCTCTCTCTCTCTCTCTCTCTCTCTCTCTCTCTCTCCCCCTCTCTCTCTCTCTCTCTCTCTCTCTCTCTCTCTCTCTCTCTCTCTCTCTCTCTCTCTCTTCCCCCCCCCTCGCTTCTCCTCTCTGCTCCTCTCTTCTCGCCCTCTCCCTCGCTATGCACGAAAGACCGCTGAAGACCGCGCGCTTGGCCACTCGACGAGAATTCCCGGTGCGCGAGGGCGCTGGTGGCCCGAGAAGAGTAATCTACTATAGAAAATGCTGGTGGCCACGCGAAGAAAAATGCCGGCGCCAGGACTCCGCTGCCGCGCGCAAGGGCCGTCCGAGCGCGCCATCAGGCAGGGGCCTGAACGAGGGCATTATTCCTCCTGGTTCCTCTCTTCTTCAATTTCCCTCTTCATACTCCTTCCTTTCCCCCCCGTTCTCGTCGCTCCTCGCCGTTCCCTCGTCTCTCCCCCTCGACAATCCTTGCCTCCCTTCCTCCCTGAGCGCTCTGGCGCGCAGGCGTTTGTGGCTCAAGCAGTCAACTCTACCGGCGCATTCTTCGCTGCGTCGGGGCGGCCCCGCCCGCGTTGGATATGCTCTCAAAGATGGCGTCCGCCCAGCAGGCCAGGCCCTTCACCGAAACGCGAAATGCAAAAGAAACCTATACCACATGCGCCCATCAGGCCCCCATCCTGATCACGACCCCGGAGAAGCGCATGGCCGGCCCCACGATGAACCAACAGCAGATGATCGAGCGGGAGGCGAACGCGCCCATGACGAACGCGGGCCTCGCCATGATTCAGGTCAAAGCGCAGGGCTCGGACCTCTCAGCGATGATGTGCAGCGACCCCTTCGATCCGCAGGCGGAACAGTTGGTGTGGCCCGACTTCCAAGACTTCGAGAACGTGAACCTACGCCCTGGAACGCGCGCCGCCAAGATGTGCTGGGGCGAGGACTTCTTGCGCATGGTCAACGCGGAACCCGCTGCGCTAGGGAAGCTCGTGGGCTCGTGGGCCTGGCGGCAATGATGCCTGTGACCTTCGCTGGCGAGGTGGAGGTCAACGGCGGCGTGCAGCAGGCGGCCTGGGCGAACGTTTCCGGTGCGTATCAGGCGCCGTCCGAGCTCGCGAAACAGCTTGATCTTCCACCGAACTTGTTTTGGAAGTTCGTGGGCCGCGAGAAGTTGCCAGAGATCCCCGACCATGCCCACCTGGAGTTCCTGCGCGGCGGGAACGCGCTGCAACTGCCCGCAGCGACAGCCACCGCGCACTCCGGCGCAGGGGAAGCACGCGTGGCTGCCGACGGCAGTATCGACCGAGCACTTCATATGATTGGCGACAGTTTGAAGAGCGAGAGCCGCGCCGACGAGGGGCCGCCCGAGTGGCGCCAAAAGACCAGTGCAGACTTCGTCAAGAGCTTGCTCTTCGCGTCGACTGCGGGGTCTTCAGGTGGTGGGTCTGCCGCGCCAGGAATGGCGCGGCCTGCCGAGGCTCCAGAGGCCCCCGCGGCGGTTGGGGCCGTCGCGAGGGACCCCGTGGAAACGGCCAGGGAGATAATGGGTATGGTGGCGACTGACTTTGAGGACTTGCCGAAGGACATGAAGATCCTCCTCGGGTTGGTGCGGTATCTGAGCGAGGCGCCCATATCCGACTGCGCTCTCTCCAACCGCCGCCGCCTCATCATGATCCTCATCGTCGAAGGTGATCGACGGCGGGCGCATTCGAAGAAGTGCTTCTACTGCGCGGGCGGTTGCTGGGGCCAAGTGGAAGCCTTCGACGTCAAGGGCTGGGGTTACCTCGCGGCGTTGGAGGGCGTGTTCACGAAGATTGGCGGCGCTGGCGTGGACGATTACAAACGCCCCGACTGGAAGTGGTCTGCGCTCCAGGGCGTCGTCGGCCAGATGCTGCGCCTGGGCGCCGCGACGCTCGCCGCGCTGCGCAACTAAGCGAAGGGGCATTCGGGCGCCCTCGAGAGGGCCACCGACAACGAAGGTTGGAAAGGCAACTGGGCCTTGAGAGCGGTGGACATGGTTTTCACGTTCAAGGCCGTAGTGGGCAGGGGGGCGACGCGCACCCCCCTCGCCGTGCCCTTCCTAAAGACGCGCGACGCGCCCGAGCCCCGGCCCCAGGGCGTGACATTCGCCGATTGTTACCTGGACTCCAACTGGGACGTATCCCCCCCGCATCCCGATCACAACTGCTACATGCGCGTGCTCTGCCGGTTCTTCTTGTCGGATGGCGACATCAATGCAGCGGGGATCGACGTCGCGAAGTGGGGCGAGCAGTTGTCGGCGTTCTTGATGGGGCCTGTGCTATAAGAACGAGGCCGTCTTCCAGCTTGAGCTGGCGCCGTTGAAATTGACTTTCCTGCGGGTCAACTCGGCCAAGATGAACTTCAAGATCGGGCGCGGAGGAGACGGCCAGCACGCGGGGGCCACCTTGCAGCGGAACCTCGTCGGCGAAGCGAGCGCCCATTATTTGGACTGCAGCGTTTTCTACGATCGGTCCGAGCGGCGGAAGTCGGGTGGGTTGGCAGCGTGGAACAAATCCATTGTCCGTATACAAGAGTGCGACGCCAACGCCCACATGGTGTCCGACAGCTGGAAGCGCTCCATTGTCGGGGAGGAACTGTCGCGCCGCGTCAACTACAGATTCCCCGTCCAGAGGACCTTCGGCGAATGCGAAAGGGGCCAGGGGTTGAATGGCGAGAACGTTCCAGTCCTGGAGGAGACAGGAACGTCGCGGAAGAAGTCGCGCCAGCAGTTGGAGCGGCGGATCACGTGTTCCCGCATGGGGAAAGCAACGTTTGTGCGCGATGAGGAGGACGCGCGCCGCGAGGAGGGCCGCTGTTGAAAGATCCCACAGGACACCTTGGACGAGTTCTTGTCGCACCCGCGGGTCGCTGCCAGGTTCCTTCAAGTATTTGCGCCCCTTTGCTAAGAAGTGCGCGGGCCGCGAGTCGCTGGTGATGCTGGGCGACATCGTAGCATTGAGCACGGAGATGTATAGGGATCTTGCGTGGCTAGCCTCCAGGCTCTCCGGCGGCGTCGATCCACGCCTCGAGGGCGACCAGCCTACTGACGCGGTCGAGAGGAACTTGATTGCGTCGCCCCACATGAGCACGCCCATGAAGGCCGTCGTCAAGGCCCGCCGCATTGAGAACGTCGACTGCGCACCTGGGGCGCGCAAGCCAGGGAAGAAGGGCGCTTCAAAGAGGCAGAGCAGCACGGCCGCCACAGGGAAGTCGAGCTTGCGCCGCTTTTCGCAGTGCGGCACCAACGCTTTGCGGAAGCTCATGGTTCACAGCGAGAAGATGGTGCAGACGTAGGAGGCATGCGGCGGCAGGGGCGTGTTCGGAGATAGGGAAGATTGGGGTAATTCCTCCGACGACATCGACGACACCGCTATGCTGATTGCAGATGGCTCCGTCGACTGGTACAGGATGGTCTCGGAGCCCTTGAGCACTTCCGTGACGCCGCTTGACAGCTTTTCCAAAACGAAGACCAGCTGCGCGCACATCGCCCGCTGCCTCGCCCACTACAACACCGTCGAGCGGACAGTCACCCTGCCCATCGACTACTACATCCCAGACCCATGCGGACGCTCATTGTGCCGAGGGGTCGGCGGACAAAAGTTCACTCGCGAAGCACGGGGTGTCGCCTCTCCCGACTGCGTCGAGAGCGACTCTCCGCGTTGCCACCCGCGCTCATTCATGAAGGCTCTGCAGGCGCGCGGTCTGTGGACCGATGACAGGTTCCCCATGATCCACAAGTCCTGCGCCGAGCACAAGAAGTGGCGGGAGACCACTGCCACGCACCTCGAAATCTCCACTGACGAGGCCAAGGGTTGAGCTGATCAAGCTATTCTACGGTTCTTGCGCACATGTTAAACTGACTCCCTCCTCCTCCTCCCTCCTTCCTCCTCTCCCTCCTCTCCCTCCTTCCCCTTCCTCCTAGCCTCTGCTTCCTCTCCCTCCTCCCCCTTCCTCCTCCCCCTCCTCTTGTTCCTCTCCTTCTACCCATCCTCTCCTCCCCTCCCTCCTTCTCCCCGTCTTTTCGTCCATGCCCACCCTCCCTTCTGTCCTTTCTCCTCTCTCCTTCTTCGGTGCTCGGCCGGCTGCGTAGCTTCCGTGGATGCTGAAAGTGCCCCGCGAGATTGTCGACGGCGCCCAGTTGTTGCTCGCTTGCGCGGCGCGCGCGGAGCACGACGCGCTCTACGCCGACCGCCCAAGCCCCGTCTCCAGCAGGATCGCGGGAATCCTCTCGCACATGGAGAAAAATGCCGCGATTATTCTGCTGGGCAAGGTGCGCGCGGCCGGGGGCATCAGCGAGATCTTCATCTTCGACGGCCTCTTCGCCAAAGTGGTGGATTTCCGAGGGGAGGTGGCGCTGGCGGTAGCCGCGGCCGACGCGAGCGCCGCCGCTGGCGCGGGGTTCCGAATCAAGCGTTGGCAGCGCGGGGCCCAGCAAGACCGCTTCGCGAGGGCAGTGTTTCACGATTCACATGCATTGGTCGTTCGGAGGGAGCGCGGCGAACGCGAGGTGGCCAATCGCATTGTCTCGGTGGCTGATTGGGCGCAGCTGCCCCCTAAGGCCGTGCTCGACGAGGGAAGCGCGACCATGACAGTTAAGGGGTCCAGCGAATCCGAGCTGGGCCACTCCCAGCGCGACGCCGCCGAGATCCTTCAATTCGCCAAGGAGACTGCGGACAGCGTCTTTCACCGCGACAATCCCGAAGGCACCGTCTACGGCGTCGCCGAGTTTCAATCGGCGCCTGCGCCCGCGCACTGCCGAGGCGCCCGAATCCTGGCGGGCGGTTGCGTGGCGCTCTGGGGCCCGGCGGCCCCGTCGGTGGAGATGCACTTGCGCCTGGCCGCGCTGGTGACACTCGCGGAAGGTGAGGATTTGAAGTGGTTATCCCTGAAGACTGCGCCTGCGGGCGCGGGCCCGCCGACTGGCGAGGGCGACGCGCGCCGGCCGCGGGCGCGGGTGATCTGCTCCAGCCAGGACCTGGTCTGCAGCGGGTGGTTAACACGGATGGCCCCCTCCGAGACGCACTCGTGGGAGTGCGCCCATTGCAATGCCAAGTTGAAGCAGAGCACGGGGGTGGCATCTCGTTCCGACATCTCTCGCAGGTTGCGCGACCTCCATTGCGCCGCGGAGATCGCGGTAAGGGCGTGGAGGTGCACAAACAAGACTTGCGAGATCACCCGCGGACCGAACTTCAAGTGGGTCGGCGCCGACGAGGTCAACGCGGCGACGCTTGCGGATTTCGAGCAGCCAGGAGTGGTCTTCATCAGCAACCAGAGGACGTTTACCATGCGCTATTCGAGGTATCACGAAAACTGTTGTTCCTTTCCTTCACCAGCGCTCGCGGCGTCAATTGGGCCACGAAGGATACCTTCTCGGACGAGGGTGATGACGGGCACGGAAAAGAGCTCGTTACCGATTGCCGAAAGTTGCACCTTGACGCCCTGATGTGCATGATTGCCGCACAGGAGATGCCGCCAATCAAGGAACGCCGCAAGATCATCATCAGGAAAGAGATCAACGACGACGCGCTCTCGAAATTGGACATCCTCTACCACAGTGAGGTGTTCCCCGCTGCGCTCCCGAAAGAGGTTGCAGTACTCGTTCGAGACGGCCGCGAGAAGGTCATGACTAAGTGCCTCGACGAAGACAAGAAGAAGCGCGCCGTTCACAATAACCCGCGGCGACGAATGGGGGCCATGAAGAGAGTCTGCAAAATGACGCTCAAAAAGCGCATCCTCCGCCCGAGGACCACGACGAGGCAAGAGGCGGCAGTTGTCAAGAGGCCGTCCGCCGCGCCGGTGCGCAAGAGGCCGTCCGCTGCAGCATCGCGCAAGGGGCCTTCCGCCGCGGTCATCAGGAAACAGGCGCAATACCACGGCAAGAGCATTTGCGGCCCGGCACACGCACCATAGGCACGGGCGGTTCATGGCCCTCGCCCCAGAGGGGCGGATTGCAGCTGCGATCGAACAGGAAAGCCCCGAAGGCAACGGCGCAGCGGCAGAGGCATTGACGCGGGCTCTGAAGACGCACCCCAACGTGAACACCTTCGTGCACGGCAGGTGCTGCTTCTTCTACATCTCTGCTAAGAAGATGGGGACGTGCACGTTCATCAAATACTGGTGGACCGGATTCGCGCGAAGGGCCACGCCAGCGACTGCCCGTGCCACCCGTGCCACGTTCTATGTTTGAGTCGCCGCCTCCAGGGCATCAACGCGCAGGTCGCTGAGCAGCGCTTCTCGCGGTTCAGAAGTTACGCGCGCCCGCTGAATGAGATGCCGCCCCTGCGCCGCAAGTTCCTGGTCATCTATTTCGCCGAGTTGCACGACGACTACGTAGAGTAGCAGAACGTGGGGTACCAGCCGCCTGTCGAGAGCATCCAGACTACGCAGGTTAAGGGCGGACATTACGGGTGCCCGTAAAAATGAATATCATTGATACAGGTAGATCATGTGAGTTAACGCCTGCAGCCGTAGCGCAGTATATGGTGCATTAGATGTGCCAACGGGGCGCTTCGATAGCATGTTGCGCTATTTAGGGATGACCGTTGTGATGTTGCAGTACATGTGCCAACGGGGCGTTCTGATATGTGTGTTGTAATTAGTTACAGTTGGGTTTCATGGTGCGGGCCATGAACTGTTCGGGCGTTTAGCTCTGGCGCGGACCTAGGTAGGGCTGGCTAGCGCGCGGGTGCACCCTGTGTGCCGGCGCGATTTTAGCTGTATGGAATTTATTTCAACGTGGTGCACTGTACTGCATCTAGCACATATTCGAGCTCTGTTTGTTCACGGGTCGTTTAAACAACAACCTTTGCGTGGCCTCTACTCTCTACTTCCTTTTTACCTTTCTCCTCCCTCACCCCCTCGTGCCCCGCGCTGCCCCCTCTGGCCGCATGCTCTTCGCGGCCCAGTCTATCGGCGGTCACTCCGCCGCTCGGATGACATTCGCGGGCAATGGGCCCCGTGCCACGTGGGCCCCGACAGGTGGATGAGAAGGAGGAGTAGGAGGACAAAGAACAGGAGGAGGAGGAGGAGGAGGAGGAGGAGGAGGAGGCGGAGGAGGAGGAGGAGGAGGAGGAGGAGAGGAGGAGGAGGAGGGCGACGACGACGACGCGACGACGGACGAGGACGAGGATGAGGCCGAGGAACGCGTGGAAGGGTATGGGGGTGGAGGAGGAGGAGGAGGAGGAGGAGGAGGAGGAGGAGGAGGGAGGAGGAGGAGGAGGAGGAGGAGGAGGAGGGGGGGGAGGAGGACGAGGAGGAGGAGGAGGAGGACGAGGAGGAGGAGGAGGAGGAGGAGGAGGAGGAGGAGGAGGAGGGGGAGGAGAAGGAGGAGGAGGAGGGAGAGGAATTTCCTCTCCCCCCCACCACCAACAAACAAAAACGGGGAGGGGCGGGGGCCCGCCCAGATTAGTTTTTTTTGGGGGGGGCGCACCAAACATTGAAAGACGGCACTGATTCTTTCTAGGGGAGGAGGAGGAAGAGGAGGAGGAGGAGGAGGAGGAGGAGGAGAGGAGGAGGAGGAGGAGGGAGGCGAGGAGGAGGAGGAGGAGGAGGAGGAGGAGAAGGAGGCAGAGGAGGAGGAGGAGGAGGAGGAGGAGGAGGAGGAGGGACAACAATTTCCTCTGCCCCCCCCAAAAAAAAAAAACAAATCAAACGGGGAGGGGCGGGGACCCGCACAGTTTTTTTTGTTTGGGGGGCGCACCAAAAAACGAGAAGCTGCATCGATTCTTTTTAGGAGGAGGAGGAGGAGGAGGAGGAGGAGGAGGAGGAAAAGGAGGAGGAGGAAAAGGAGGAAGAGGAGGCGGAGGAGGAGGAGGAGGAGGAGGAGGAGGAGGAGGAGAGGACGAAGGAGTGGGAGAGAAGAGGGCGCCACAGAGCACGCAGAACATTGAAAGACACACGCGTGAAAGCTTCGCGCGCGCATTCGACCCCGTGGGGCTCCACTGTCTCCCGTTTTCAAAAACTGATAATAAGAGTAGACATAAGTATTACAATAAGAAGAAGAGTAGTAAACATAAGAAACAAATCCATATGAATAATACTACGGATAATCCGAGTAACAAGACAGACAGGAAGAGGAGGAGGAGGAGGAGGAGGAGGAGGAGGAGGAGTATGAATAAGCCTCTGGCTGCTATTCTGGGGCCTTCTGAGGGTTTCCCAGGAGCCTCCTGAGGGTCTCTGAGGGGCCTCTCGGGAGCTGTTTGGGGCCTCGCAGAGTGCATCTTGAGGCCTCTTGCTAGCTTCGGGCCGTCTCGTGGGTCTCTTGGCGCCGTCATAGGGGCTCATTGGGCCGTCTTGGGGCTCTTTTGGGCCGTCTTGCAGGTTTCTTGGGGGCAGCCCGACGCCGAGTTCGACGCACCGGCCAGCTCCTGCCCGCCGCCTGCCGATGTGGCGCTGTCAGCTGGCCAGCCCCACTCCCCGCCCGACGCCCCGCGAGGCGCGCAACCCCGCGCCCAGCCCAGCGCTCAGCCGGATGGCGAGACATCTGACGCCGGGGCCATCGTGCAGCTGGGCAGACCATTTTGAACCATGTTGGGCGCATCTTGGGCTCTTTCGGGGCCGCCGTGGCCGTCTTGGATACCATCTTGGCCGATCCGGACGCCATTTCAGGCCATTCGGGGGCCATCTGGAGCGGAACAGCGAGCGGCCCTTGCCTCCCCCCCCCCCCATGGGAAAAGGTTTCCGGGTGGCCCGGCAGGATCGGCCGAGACCCCCTTTGGAATTTGTTGGACTGGCCAAAGCATTCCGAGTTTCAGCGCACTGTGCACCCATGTTGCAAGCCGCAGAGGGGGCAGATCGAAAACACTCGCGGTGAGCCACCGCCACCCCCTATGTGACCGGACGTTGCGGCCAGAACTCGGCCAACCTATCGGATTGCGCGTTCCTCCCAGCCGTTCAAAGAGGGCCTTTTTTCGAATCACGCGGGGAGAAGGAAGAACAGGAGGAGAGGGAAGAAAAGGGAGGATGAAGAGGCGGAGGAGGAGGAGGAGGAAGAGGAGGAGGAAGAGGAGGAGGAAGGGAAAAGGAGGCCTCGTGGGAGCTCGTTGGGGCACAATTCGAATGGCCTCCTGGGAGCTTCCTGGGGGCTTTTCGAAGGCCTCGCGAGGGCTTCCTTGGGCTTCTTGGGGGCCTTTGGAGGCCCCCTGGGAGGTTCACTCGCCGTCAGAGGGCGCCCCTGGCCCGTCCGACGCCGTCGGAAGCCGTCTTGCGGCCGACTCAAGGCCCTCTCGGAGCGTTTCAAGGCCGTCTTGGAGGTCATCTTGGGCGTCTTGGAGGTTTCCTGGGCCGTTCCCGTGCCCTCCAGGGACAGTTTTTGCGGCCCTTTGGGCCGTCAGGGGGCCGTTTTTGATGCCTCTCTGGCGTTCTCGAGGCCATCTTGGTGGCCTCTGGGGCCGTCTTGGGCCGTCGGCGCGCTGAGCGTGAGCAGCCGCCAGCATTTTCCAACATGAGCTTGGCCTTTCGGGGCCGTCCTGGAGGTCCTGTCGGCGGCCTTTGGGACCGCATTCGAGGCCTCGTGCGGGCCTCTTGGGCCGTCTTGGGCCATCTTAGGCCGTTTTGGGTGCACCTTGGGCCGTCGTGGAGACATGTTGAGGCCATGTTGGGTTTTCTTGGGGCCCCCTTGGCCGTCGTGGAGACCATCTTGGAGGCCATCTTGGAGCCGTCTTGGAGGGAAACGGCCACGCCCCAAGGCATTTTCGACGGCGTCGCGATTCCTTACAGGTGTCTGGCGGGATCGGCCGAAGGCCCACAGGGAAACCAAAAAAACGACCGGATATGCAGCGCGCCTTGCAGCGTGGCAAGCCACAGGTGGCTCTCCTGGGCCGTCTTGGGGCCCTCTTGGGGTCGTTTTTGGGGGCCTCTTTGGCCGTCGGGAGGCCATCTCGGAGGCCTCTTGGGTGCTCTTGGGGCCATCTTGGTGGTCCCTGGGGCGTTTTGGGTTTTTCAGAGCGCCGAACATGAACAAACGCCAAAATCCATCATAAGCCTACGGAACACAATTCTGTTGTGCCTCATCGGGCCTCTTTGGTGGTCCTGTTGGAGGCCTTTCGGACCGTCTTGGGTGATCTCGAGGCCGTGTTGGGCCATCATTGGGCCACTTCGGCCCGGCTGTAAGACATTTGGGAGCCATCTTGGGCTCTCTTGGTGCCATCGTAGCCATCTTGGTGACCACCTTGGCCGTCTTGGAGGCCATTTGGGGGGCGTCTGGAGCGGGAAACCCGAAGACCTGGGAAGTTTACGGGTGCGAGTTTTCCAGTTTTTCCCTTTCTTGCCCGCCCTTGAGGGTCTGTGCGCGTCCTTCCGGGTTGCAAGCGGGCTGGGCCGAAGGTCCACCTGGCACTTCTATAATGAAACAAGAAACGGTGTAACGTTCGGCGCGCCGTGCGCCCTTGTGTCAAGCCAACAGGGGGCGGCGGATCGAAGACGCACGCGGCGAATCATCGCCGCCCCCTGCCTTTTGGAATCGCCCATGTGGCCGAGCGTTGCGGCGAGAACTCTGCCAAACTATCAGGCCATGTGTCCCCCCAGCCGTCGTGGAAACCTGTCGGGGGAAACTTGGGGGGGATGGTGGGGAATATCAAAAGGATGAGGAGGAGGAGGAGGAGGAGGAGGAGGAAGAGGAGGAGGAGGAGGAGGAGGAGGAGGAGGAGGAGGAGGAGGAGGAGGCGGACGAGGACGAGGAGGAGGAGGAGGCGGAGGAGGAGGAGGAGGAGGAGGAGGAGGAGGAGGAGGAGGACGAGGACGAGACGAGGACGAGGACGAGGACGAGGACGAGGACGAGGAGGAGGAGGAGGAGGAGGAGGAGGAGGAGGAGGAGGAGGAGGCGGAGGGGGGGGCATCTTGGGAGCCTCTGGGGGCACTCTTGGGGCTTCCTGGGAGCTGGGAGTTTCCTGGGAGCCTCTTGGGTCTCTTGGGTCTCTTGGGGGCTTCTCGAGGGCCCCTTTCGCCGTCTTAAGGCATTCGTGGCCCGTCTGACGCTGTCGGGAGCCCTCTTCGGGGCCTCTCTGGGCCGAAGTGGGGTCTCGTGAGGTGCTCCAGGGCCGTCCTGCAAGCCATTTGGGGCGTTTTGGAAGCCTCTTGGGCCGTCTGGGGGCCCTCTTGAGAGCGTTTTGGGGGCCTCTTGGGCCGTTTTGAGGCCATCTTGGAGGCCTTTTGGGCGATCTTGGGGCGATCTTTGGGGCTTTCGGCCCGTCGGAAGGCCGAAAACTGGCAACTGCGAAAATCCTTCAAACATTTAAGGACAAACGATGAGTTTGGCCTCTTCGGGCCTTCCTGGAGGCCATCTTGGAAGCCTCTTGGGTCGTCTTAATGGTCTTTTGGGGGCCTCTTGGGCCGTCTGCCGTCACCTTGAGGCCATCTTAGGCCGTCTTGGAGGCTTCTTAGGAAAACATGGAGGCATCGTGAGCCGTCTTGGACCATCTTGGGCGAGCTTGGAGGCCATCTCGGGCTATCAGGGGGTGGGTCATCTTGGAGCGGGAAAGGCATTGACAGACAGATTTTGGGGTCCCTTTCGGGTGGCCGGCGGGATCGGCCGAAGCCCCAGGGGGAACTCTTTTGGAAAGGGTCTACCACGCCAGGCCCCCCTGTGATAAATCAACAGGGGGCGGCGGATCCATCGGCCTTCGGCCCATCCCGCCTTCGTGCCTTGGTTGTAGGTCGGAGGCCTCTTGGATGCCTGTGGGAATCTCTTTGGGGGGGGTATCAGAAGCCTACTGTAGGCGGTTCGGGGGGTGTCTCGGGGGCCCCTTTGGGGTTTATTGCGGCCTGATTTGGGCCTCTTGGAGCTCCTGGGGGCTCCAAAGGGCTTGAGGATATTCCATCTCGTGCCTCAGGGCACGATGGCGGACTTTTTCTGGCTGTTCGAGTCCAAGAGCGAGCCCGGCAAGGACCCGCTCGTCATGTGGCTCTCGGGTGGCCCGGGCTGCTCCTCGCAGCTCGCCCTGCTCGCCGAGAACGGGCCCTGCACGGTCTCGCGGAACGGGAGCGGAACGATTGTCAACACGCACTCTTGGCACGCGAGGGCGAACGTCATGTGGGTGGATCAGCCTGCCGCGGTGGGTTTTTCGACCGCAAGGAAGTTTGAGGCAACAACAGGCTTCGGCACGCACGACGAGGCCGGCGTGGCCGAGAGCATGTACGCGTTCTTGCAGAACTTCTACGCGCAGTTGCCGCAGTACCGCGGCAACGACTTCTACGTCTTCGGGGAGTCCTACGCCGGGCACTACGTGCCGGCCATCGCCCACCGCGTCTGGAGAGGCAACAGGGCGGCGGCCGGCTTCAGGGTACCCCTGGCGGGCATCGCCGTCGGGAACGGCCTGACCGACCCGGAGGAGCAGTACAAGTGGTTCCCCGAGATGGGCACGACGGGAGCCCGCGCCGAGGGGGGCCACGCGCCCGCAGGGGTCGTCGGACCGGAGTATGGCGCGTCCATGGAGGCCTTGGTGTCCCCCTGCATCTCGGGTCGGACGAGACGGGGGGCGGGTTAGGGCAAGGTTGTGGGGGGGGGGGGGTACGGCACATGCTGTGTGCAGCTGGTGTCGGTCCCGCCGCGGGGCGCTTTTTCCTCCATGCGTTGGTGCCTTTGGTGCCGGGGGGGCTGCCGGGGAAACCAGCTGCGCGTGCTGATTCGCTAACTCCCTCCTCCCTCCTCCCTCCTCCCTCCTCCCTCCTCCCTCCTCCTCCTCCTCCTCCTCCTCCTCCTCTTCCTCCTCCTCCTCCTCCTCCTCCTCCTCCTCCTCCTCCTCTCCTCCTCCTCCCGCTGAACACAAGCCCCAAACAAGTTCTTTGGGGACAGGAGCCGCTGACCTCCCTGTCGTCCGACCCCGAGCATCTCCGCGATCCGGGGGTGCAACGAGGGCCTGTCCCCCGATCTGCCGCTCGGCGGCCAGAGGCACAACAGGACCGCGTGCCTGAGGGCGGTGGAGGTGTGCAGCGGGATGACCTCCATCTACCAGATGACGGGCCGTGCAGTCGGGAGCTCCTGCTCCGCGTGTCGCGCGGCCGCTTCTGGCCCACCAGGCTTCGGCGCGGCACGCCGACAACTGCCCCGAGCTGTTCTCGGTCTCCCGCCCTGTGCAGCGGAGCGACATCGCTATCCGTTCGCAGGGCATGGCGTGCCGCCTTCGCCGCCGTCGCGCACCGCTTAGCAAGCGCTCCCGACCGTAACCCATACGACATGCGGCTCCCGTGCGAGCACGGGCTCCTGTGCTACGACTTCGGCATGATTGCCGCCTACCTCAACGGGCCCGAGGTTCAGAAGCAGCTTGGCGTCAGCAGGCACTGGGAATCGTGCAACATGATGGTGGACGTGCAGTTCGTCCAGGCCGGTGACTGGATGGTAAACTACCAGGGGCTAATTCCGGACCTCCTCGCCGACGGCATTAAGGTGCTCATCTACGCTGGCGACCAGGACTTCATTTGCAACTGGCTCGGCAACATGAAGTGGACGCAGAAGCTAGATTGGCCGCACCGGGCTGACTTCAACGTCGCCCCCAATCGGGATTACGAGCTGAACGGAGAGACAGTGGCGAAGCTCCGTACCAGCAATGGTTTCAGCTTCATGCAGGTGTTCAATGCTGGTCACATGGTGCCGATGGATCAGCCTGCAGTTGCTTTGCAGATGTTCACAGACTTCACAACTGGCAGCTTGGGGAGCCACGTGGCATCCGAGATAATTCTAGCGTAGCTGGGTGAATCCGACCATGTGCTTCGAAGAAGAAGAAGAAGAAGAAACAACATAAGTAGCATGACGTAAACTGTCAGGGCTCCTCGCGGATCTCTTGGATCGTCGCTGGGCCCCCCTTTCTGGCCCGCGGAGCGCGCGTCCGGGTTCGCGCCAGAGGCGCTGCCAGGTGGGCCGCATGAGATCAGATGAGCGACGCAAAAAAACGGGATCGTCTTGGCCGACATTGGCGCGTAAGCTACCCGCGTAAAGTCGCGCGTGAGTGCCCTCGCCTCCAATGCAGCATGCCGCGCGGGCGGCCTGCGTCAGCCGCCGTGCAAGGTCGCCGTGCCATCTCGCGTAGGACCTTGCTTTGGATCGTCGCTCCGAGGAAGCGGGTCCCCTGTTGGACGACGGGCAGGACGAGTGCGGGGGGCGCTGGCGGAGTCAGAGGGGGCCTGGCGCTTTTCCTCCTCCTCCTCCTCCTCCTCCTCCTCCCTCCTCCTCCTCCTCCTCCTCCGCCTCCTCCTACTTCCTCCTCCTCCTCCTCCTCCTCCTCCTCCTCCTCTTTCTCCTCCTACTTCCTCCTCCTCCTCCTCGTCCTCCTCCTCCTATTCCTCCTCCTCCTCCTCCTCCTCCTCCTCCTCCTCCTCCTCCGCTGGAGCAGGCTGCCTCTGCCTCCCCGTGCGTGGGGCACGGCTCGCCGGCTGCGGCGGGGGCGGATGGCCCCGGGAGAGCATCGCAGGCGCCGCCAGGGGACTCGATCGCCCCAGTGCTCGACAAGGCTCGCCCCAGTGCTGTTTGGCGGCAGGTGGGCACGCGGATCTCACTCCCGCCTCCCTGCTCCTTGGTGCTCGATGCTCAAGGTGGTCGTCACGGTGTCCCGCGGGGGATGGCCATCGATGCGCTGCGGATGCCCCTCTTCACAGCCGGGGGCCAAGCTCGATGCTCCTCCGCGCTCTCCTCTCTCTCTCTCTTCCTCCAGGCCCGCCCGGAGGGGCGCGAGGTCAGCCTCGCCCCGCGCTTTGCGGACTGGTTCTGCGCTTCTCGCCTCGCGCTTCGCGTATTGCGCATCGCCCGGCGCGAAAGACAACGTTAGGCGGCTTGCAGCCAAAGTCCGCGCGAAGGGTGCGATGATCCACCAAGGATGCCCTCCTTGCCAATCTAGCCTTTTTTGCTGTCCGCGTGCCTCAGGGTTTTCTTTTGAGCACGTTCGGCGCCTGAGCCCGCTCGGCCGCCGAATGAGCGGCCGAACGCGCTCAGTTCCAGCAGGGTCGTGGAAACTGAACCCTCTCGGCGGCCGAATGGGCTCGGTCTTGAGCCCGTTCGGCGGCCGAGCGGGCTCCGACGCCGAACGGTCTCAGAAGGGAACCCTGGGTTGCCCCCGATGTTCTCTCTGCGCGGCCGTCCTGATAGGGGGCCACATGCGAACCCTGCCCGTACCCCCCACGATCTCTGAGGGCGAGGGTGGGGCTCACCCCGCTCGGGAGCTCCCGAGCGGAGTGAACCCCACCCTCCCCCCCAGAGATCCTGGGGGGCAGGGGTAGGGTTGGCATGTGGCCCCCTACGGTAGGTTCGTGTCGTGTCGACGGCGGCGACTCGGCCGCCGGCGTTCAACGTTGCACGCTGCGCGGCCCAGAGTCGGTCGGATGTTGAACCATTGGACGTTGCGGCGCCGATCGTTCAAGGTTGAACGATCCCCGCGGTGTCAGGAACCAACGCCTGGGTCGACACGACACGAACCTGCCGTACCTGCGTCCTTCCCCCGTGACGCCCCCCTTCCCCCCCACCCCGAGCGGACTTCCTGCGGCAGGCGATCCTCCCGGCGCGCGGGCCACGGCCGGCGGGGCTGCCCGCTCCCGAGCGCGGCGGGCCATGCTCCGCCGCCGGCGGCGCTGGTCGTGCGCCAGCCAGGGGAGGCCGGGAGGCCAGACGGTTGTATGTGTGTAGAATGTACATACGGTAGGTTTGCGTCGTGTCGACCAGCGGCGACCCCAGCGCGGACGTTCAAGGTTGAACGCCGCTGGCGACCCAGAATCGATCGATGTTGAACGATCGGACGTTGCGGCAGCGGCCGATCGTTCAAGGTTGAACGATCCCTGCGGTGTCAAAAACCAACGCTGGGGTCGGCACGACACGAACCTGCCGTATGCGCATACAGTGCCGTTGTTTAATACATGCTCGGCGTGCGGATCATGTATTACAAATGCAGGGATTTAGCATTAACAGCAACGATGAGCTCATGCATGCATATTAGAAATCCCATAGTTTTGAAGTTATATGTATTAGAAAACGGCCTTGTACGTATGTGTAGGTACATATTTCTAAAACACACATATATATATATGTATATACACATGTGCCCGTATATGTGTATGAAAATATAAACCATATGGTGTGCATGTTTGTATGGATGTATGGATGTATCGAGGTAGGTAGGTATAGATGCATGCATTTTCGTATGTGTGTATGCATAGGTGTATGTATGTGTAGTTACGCATGTCTGCAATGTAATGCAATGCAATGGAATGTAAGTAATGTAGTGTAGTGTAATGTACTGTAATGTAATGTACTGTAATGTAATGTAATGCAATGTAATGTAATGCAATGTACTGTAATGTAATGTGGTAGAATGCAGCGTAATGCAATTAGTACAGGTATGCATGCATGCATGTTTATATGCATGTATGCAAGCCTATATGTGTGCATGGATGTATGCATGCATGCATCTATGTATGTGTTTATGGATGTGTGCATGCATGTACGTATGTATGTATGAACGGTTGTATTGTTGTATATGTGCATGTACGCATGCATGCATGTATGCATGCATGCATGCATGAATGTGTGAATGTACGTGTGTATGCATGTATGTTTGTATGCATGTATTATGTATGTGTGTTTGTATGTCTGTCTGTCTGTCTGTCTGTGTGTATGTGTTCATAGATGTGTATATATATATACATATGTATGTGTGTATGTATGTATGTATGTATGTATGTATGTATGTATATGTGTATGTATGTATGCATGTAGGTACGCACGTGTGTGTGTGTCTGTGTATACGTGTATACGTATTGGTGGATGTATGTATGTACGCATGCATGCATGACGGTATGTGTGTATGGGTGTACGTGTGCGTGTATGTATGAATGTGTGTGTGGATGTGTATGTGTGTATGCATGTATGGATGTATGCGTGCATGTATGTATGTATGGATGTGTGTATGTGTGTATGTGCTTGTGTGTATAAGTTCATGCATGCATGCATGTATGCCTGTATGTACGTTTGATTGTAAGTATGTAGGTAGGTAAGTACGAATGTATGTCTGTATGCATGTGTGTATGTCTGTATGTATGTATGCATGCCTGTATGTATGTAGGTCTGTCGGTCTGTCTGTCTGTCTGTCCGTATGTATGTATGTATGTATGTATGTATGTATGTATGTATGTATGTATGTATGTATGTATGTATGTATGTATGTATGTATATGTATGTATGTATGTATGTATGTATGTATGTATGTACGTATGTATGTATGTATGTATGTATGTATGTATGTATGTATGTATGTATGTATGTATGTATGTATGTATGTATGTATGTATGTATGTATGTATGTATATATATATATATATATATATATATATGTAGATGTAGATGTTTGTTTGCATGTATGCATGCATGCATGTATGCATGTATGCATGTATGCATGTATGCATGTATGCATGTATGCATGTATGTGCATGTACCGTGTGTATGGATACATACTCGTGTCATCGGATTTGCCCAGCGGTCCTCTAGAGCCTAGCGCCTGGCCGCAGCGGGGCCCCGCGTGCGCTCGCGCGGGGCGCCCACTGGCCACGTCCTGGCGCGCGCTGCGGCGGGAATCGGGGCCGGCGCGACGCCTCCCCGGGGGTGCGGTCGGTCCGCTGCGTGCCGAAGAGGCACAAGCGAAGCTCCGCGACCTCCGCGGTGCTCGGCCGTGGTCGGCGCAGCCCGGCCCGCGACGCGGCGGAGGCCCCCCAGCGCGGGCGCTGGAGGCTGCACGCGCAGCCAGCGAGCCAGAATCCGCCGACGTCGAGCGGTCGGCGCCGTCGAACGCCGCGGCATCTCCGGCTCGAGCGATCCGCGCGATGTGCGCGACCAGCGCGCGCGTCGTCACGACACGAGCCTGCCCGCACGTCGCCCTGGGAGCACGCTCGGGCCCCCGCGGTGCGGCGGTCGATGCCTCCGCCCGAGGGCGGCGGCGGGCCTCTGGAAGCCAGGCCTGGCGCAGTGTGGCCTCTGGCCGCCGCGGGGGGGGGGAGGGAAGGATGCTCTGCCAGAGAGCTGGATATGCACGCGGCGCGCACCAGAGAGGGCTTCGGCTGCGAGGGGTCGAGGGCATGGCCTTCTCGTCCTCAGCGGAAGGCCCGGCGGGCGCAGCCCTGGGGTGGCCCCGTCGGCGCGAGGGCGAGATGCCGAGGCGGGGGTTCAGCCCTATCCACCGCCCTGGGCGCCCATATTCCGGAACCTCGGGGGGCGGTGGAAATGGATGTGTTCGGCCTTTCCTGGGGCGCAAATTTATCACATATCCATCTACCTCCTCCATCAACCTTCTCCTCCTCCTCCTCCTGCTCCTGCTCCTCCTCCTCCTCCTTCTCCTCCTCCTCCTCCTTCTCCTCATATCCATATCCACCGCCCCCCCCCAGGGTCCCAGGACATCGTACACCCCCGCGGTGGATAGGAACACATCCCCGCCTCGCAGGGATGATCGAAGGAGGGGCGTGGGAGTGCCACGCCCTTCCGCGCAGCCCTCCGCGCATCTCTGGGCCCAGCCTTTCTTGCCTCCCGCTCCCCTTCCCGCTCCCCTCTGCCCTCTCGCGGCGTCCTCCCTTCCATTCCCCCCACCACCATCCCCTCCCTCCCCTTCCCTTCTCCCCTCCCCTCCCCTCCCTCCCCTTCCCGAGGAAGAGGAGGAGGAGGAGGAGGAGGAGGAGGAGGAGGAGGAGGAGGAGGAGGAGGAGGAGGAGGACGAGGAG